ATATATCACCGTATAATATATTGTTTGTTCAGTCTGTATGGACATACATTAAAAAAAATCTTCCCAAAAATATATTGATAATTTAAGACAATAAATTCAGTGTACTGACCTTGATGCCACGAGGGCCAGGATAACCAATAGCTCCCTGAGGACCATTAGGACCCTGGAGAAGATCAGAGATAAAAATATTAAATTAAAATCCAAGACCATAAAGTTATGCTTATTAGCTAAATATATAAAACTCTTTTAGATATAATGTATTTCCTTCTTATTGATTAATAACTTGTGAACTGATTTTGTGTAGATGAACAGAAACATTTTATTGATATTACTGTGACTGGGTTACACTCACCTGGTTTCCTTTTGTGCCAGAAGGTCCCTCYTTTCCTGGGTGACCCTAACAATAGAAAACCATAAACTCAAGTCTCAGGAAAGACATGCAGGACTCATAGAATCTATTTTATTCCTTTATAAACACATCATATTATAATAAAGACAAACTTACAGGAGGACCATCAGCTCCAGGCATCCCTGGCAAACCTGGTTTTCCAGTAGGACCCTAGAGAAGAGGACAAGGTGTCATGAGCTGAATTTATCATGAAATCACTCCTAAGCATTTAAAATGTGATGCCCTTCTGTTTGGCTGTTTGTGGGCATTTACTTACTTTCTCTCCTGGGGGTCCTGCAGCCCCCTGAGGTCCTGGCATTCCCTGCAAAAGCAAACATGTAAACAAAATGATCCCATTTACTCAAATTATGAACGACTTTCTCAATATACAGTAAATGCCTTTTTAAAGCATTGTTTACATATGCGTTTACAACAGTGATATTTACATTTTTAAATTTCAACTTGAATTTTGGTGTAAAGATAATACAGTGACAGAATTTCATTGATTGTAATTCTAATATAAAATTTTYTATTGAGGATTTTACAGCCTTGTTGGAAAATAAAGTTGCACCACAGAGCCTGCAGCAGTCAGTCTAACCAGAGACACTGCTGGTTCTGAAATTCTGGGTTGATTGTGTGGCTGGAAAAGATTCATACCTTCGACATATATTTATATTTCTACCTGAAAAATACAAATATAGTTTCACATTAGGTTGGGTCACCTGAGTTCCTGGGGTTCCCTGCTGACCAGGAGGTCCTGGCTCACCTTGGGGACCCTGACAGACAAAAAAAAAAGGTAAACAGATGACTGAAAGATATGAGGAAGAMACAAACATCCAGAAATTCTAACTATATAGTTTAGATTCTGTTAGTTCAAAATAACATAATGAGATAAAACTAGATACAGTACATATACAGATGTCATTATAGAATGGAAAATATTACTGACCAAGTTTCCTTTGGGACCATGAGGTCCATCATTTCCTCGTACACCCTAAGAAGAGAAGGTGCACATAAGACTCACCAAACAGACAACTGCACATATGAACAAATATCCCACTAATGTTCAGTTATTATATTAGCAGTCTACGATGTTTGGTTTCAAGTGTTGCTGTGGCTGGTCAGTGGTCAGAAAAGGAAAACCTAATCCTGCTAAAATAAAATTGCACAGTATCGTTTGGGACTGCTTTTACTCACAGGAGGTCCAGAAATCCCAGGAGGACCTTTAGGCCCAAGCAAACCTCGTGGTCCCTAAAGACCAAACATAAGGACAACACAGACAGGCGTCCAAAATAAGAAACTAACTATTAACAGAAAAAAACACAATGAATAAACAAGAAAAGTATGAGATGTTCAAAACAAACAGCAGCAATAACAAAATCCTAAATCAAAAAACTGTCTGTGATCRAACAGGAATAAAGAAATACTCCCTACTCCAAATATAAATGACACGAAACAACAGGTACAGTATGCGATGATAAAACACAGAGATGTATCTTCATAYTAAATGTAAATGTGAAATCTGGTTATGGAAACACTCACGGGTTCACCTGGAAGACCYCTGGGTCCAACGTCTCCATCGTCTCCCTGTAAACACAGAAACAGCAGATCATCCATGAATGAATGAAGGATTTCTGAAACAATTTAAGATTTGTTGTCTCGTTCTGTTTGTACCCTTTCTCCGTCTTCTCCTTGAGATCCTGGTGGGCCCAGTGGTCCAGTGTCACCCTGACGAGATGAAAGAGTGAAGGTTGATGGTGACGTTACATAAATAAAGATAAACTTATATTGTTGGACCTACTCTGTGTCCTTTGTCTCCAGGTAGACCAGGAAGACCATCAAAGCCTCGATCACCCTGAGACAAACACACAAACCTGTGAGACGCTGCTGAAATGAAGACAGTGCTTAAACAAAAGTTAAATTGACACACTTATGGTAATTTTAAGACTCTTGATGTGATGTTAAGATATATCAAGAACATGACACAAGTTGAGAAAAAACACTTTACCTTGGCTCCAGTCTCTCCTGGCATTCCTCTGGCACCGTCAGCACCAGCACGACCCTGATATGAGTAAAAAATAAAATAAAATAAAATAAAAATAAATAAATAAATAAAAGGAAACTGTGAGACAGTCTGCCACTTTCAATGTTCTCATCTATAGTTCTGTTAGGTGACGTATGACAAAAAGCAAAAAACACAACAAATAAAAGCTTAACAAGACTATTTTTACTCACTCTTCTTCCTGATTTTCCTGGAGGACCCATCACACCCTGTTGTCCTCTGGGGCCCTGACAACAAAACAAAAACAAAACAAACAAATAAAAAAAAACATGTCTGATTTAGTGGCTGTAATAAATTAAAGAACAAATGAGATGTTCAGGGAAGTGACTGATTTACCTGAGGACCAGGGTCTCCACTTTCTCCCTTTAAACCAGAACTTCCTGGACCTCCCTGAAATCATCATCATCATCATCATCATCACCATCATCATCATCATCATCATCACCATCATCACCATCACCACCATCATCATCATCACCATCATCATCATCATCATCATCACCATCATCATCATCATCATCACTAATGTTGTTACTGTATTTTTCTTTTGGCTGCTACCTTTAGCGAGCGAGCTAGTTTTACCCAGAATCCCTCTGTATGTTAACCACAGAGGTCAGATAACCTACCATGGGTCCAGGGCGTCCAGTAAATCCCATTGGTCCAGGAGGTCCTTTCAGAGCCATCTAGAAAAAGCAAAAACACTTTAAACCAACAATTATTCTTCAGAAGARCTAACAGCACACAGAGTGGAAACGTGAAAAAAAAAAAGTAATAACTGACCCTAGCCTGAGACAAGATGGCTGCTGCCTGAGCTTCCTGWGCAGAAACAACAGGACCCTTATCGCCTCCACTCTGACCAAAACGGAACTGCAAAAAGAAGAATAAAATAYATTAAAACAATGAGGCAAAGCTGCAAGTCTAATCAATGACAGGGAATAAATCAATCAATAAATAATATACTATTAAAAACAGGCTTAAACAACAAAAATACAGAAACAAACCTTTTATTTAAAAGACAAGTGAAACAACTTCAACAGATGCAATAAAATGTTATAAATAACATTTTTTTAACAATAAAATGTCAAAAGTTAGGGATAACTTACGGGCAGCATGACTGAGGTTCCAGGAGGTCCAGGAACTCCATCAGCCCCAGGAAGACCAGCTCTACCAGGAGGACCCTGCAGGAGGAAAACAAAAAGTAAAAAAATTCCTCATTTCCAAAACTGTTGATGCACATAATCTGTACTTTATAAAAGAAGGGGGAAATTACCCTCTCTCCAGGGTCACCAACAGAACCTGGAGGTCCTGAAGAGCCAGGAGGTCCGGAAGGCCCCTGAAAAAAAAATAGCATTATCATACCTAAACTGAGCAAGAAATAAAAAATAATGTCATAATCTTAAGAATTATTTAAATTCTAATAAATAAATAACCTCATGTACTTACAGAAGGTCCTTCAGGCCCTGGAGGACCTTCGATCAGCATTCCCTGAAACATGAAATAAAGTGTTTAAAAAGGGGTTTCAGAATAACATTAAACCTTTTTATTAGCACCTTCTAAAATCCAGAACATATTTTAAATTCTTGCAMGTTTTTTCTTTACTTTTTATTCTGCAAAGTTATTCAAACAAAACCCACCAGATTATATAAAGTATTTTAAACAGTTAGTAACTCACAGGCTCTAAAACAGCAGGTTCTCCTTTTTCTCCTTTCTGACCGCTAACAGTGGCCTGARGAAACAACACAAGTGTCCAGGAACAAGATGGAGTCATTATAAAAATACTTTAACATTCAAACTAAAATCAGTACAACCACTGAAAGTAAACAACATGCACAGAAAATACTAACAACATAGTAAAATGTTGAAACCAGTGATCAAAATTACAACCTGTTTTCTTTGTGATAGCTGCAAAAACTTTCCTTCTGATTATGTGACTCTCCACAGAGCTGGTCCGTTACTTTTAYACACTTATTGCACAAATAAAAGCCTTCTGAGATTAGCACTAAATAAAGCCATACACTGAATAAAACAACMCTTTTTTTCAGTGTATGTTGGAGTTACTGCCTACATTAATGAGGATAACAGCTGTTAAAAACTAAAGCAATCTTCTCAAGGTCCCACTTTGCTTACTATGCATTAAAAATAAAATCAGTTTCAACCAACATGACTTCTAGGTCTTGAATTTAAATGCTTAATACTTAATAATTAACTTAACTACTTTGACTGATTGAGCTTGCTAAACACAGAACTGAAAATTAGCATAATGCCAATTTTAAATTTAGAGSTCTTAAACTAAAACTGATGTCTATGCCAGCTTTTAGAAAAACGTACTCTGAATACATTTTGGTGAAGTCTATGATTCTCAGTTGGTTGAAACWGATTTTTATTTTTGCCTCTGAAGCCAAAGTACTTACGCCTCCCTCGTCCGTCACAGCGGACAAGGCGGGCCCCATGTAGGCATCGATCTCCCCGGTCTCTGGTAAGGGGTCACTGTAGTCCTTGTAGGCATAGTCGTACTCCTTAAGGCCCATGTCTCCAGTCACATACTCCTCAGTGAAGACTTCTTCGTGCACACCGCCTGCTTTGGTGGCATCTACCTCCTCCCCTGCCAAGGCTGGTTCCACTTGGGGCTACGGTGGGTTCATTAAAGCCCCGACAGGACAGGTACAGAAGCCCAAAAGGAAGAATCAAAGAAGGGAAAACGAGAGTGCAAGAGGAGGAACAGTGGGAAGATGAAAGTTTGGAAAAATGTTTTTTAAAAAAGTAAAAACAGGGAAGAGTGCAAGGGGGAGCATATGTAAAAAATAAGTCTTACCTTTTGAAAACATACAGAGACATTGGAATAAAAAAAGACATGTGGCAGACCTCGGACTCTGTAAATCTCTAAATACTGTTGATCCAATCTGTTTTTTTTTTCAGGTGACTTATGCTGATACTTTAAATCTTCTATCATTTATCTTATAACTGCAGGTTTTCATCAAATCTTCTCATTATCAGCTCTGTGTGAGACTATAGTCAAGAAACCTTCATTTTTAAGATTTCTCAGCTCACAAAACTGATAAAAAAAACTTGGTGAAAAGCAAGCTTGTGCTATGTGCTGTACTAGGCAAAGCAAATACTTTAGTATCTTACTTGTGTACTTACCACCCATGGCATAAGAACAAATATGAATCCAGGGGAAATGTATGTTGCCTATTTTCTRTAAAAGTCTGCAATGCTTTTAGCAAAGTAGTTTTTTTTATTATTAAAAATGTCTCCAAAGAACCAAAACATTTTAACATTAAACTCTTCAGATACTCTTTTTTAAATTCTGGTAATTAAATGTTATTAAGTAACCCTTACAAATAACTCTAGACACTTTATTCCAAGCTAGAATGCATTATATTCATCTCCTTTTGTTTCCACAGATTAAACAACATATCAAATATTCCYATGTGGATCTGTTTTTCACAAGACTTTTGTTCTTATTCCAAGATGACGACACTATCAAAAGAGGATCTTGAGATGAGAACAAAACAGAAATCTTGTTGATAGAGAGAGAAAGYCACATAAAAATGTTTGATACAAGCAGATAAATATGGTACATTCTGGTAAAACCTTCTCTCCTGCTACAGGCATCGATGCCAACGACACTGAAATGTGAGGTTAGAAGAGTATAAAGAACACAGAGCTCTTACTATTTTGTTAAACTACAAAGACTGGGCTCACCATCATACAGGTTTTATACTATTTTTATTTGAAGATGGAAATCTCTTGAGTTTACATCTAATTTGTTGTATTTTACTGTACTAATCATTTTATCCAATCTCCCAGATTTATCATACATTAAATAAAAAATAATTCTACCCCTCCATTTGCTCTTTTTTTAACTCAATGTGTGTTATTTTCTTTTACCTGCACAGGTACCTCTTCTTGTCCAATCACCTCACCATCTGGCTGTGGGACCATCTCCTCATAGTAATAATCGGTCTCTGTAGGGGTGTGGCCAGCCTCAGAATTTTCAGTGTCTACATCCTGATTGGTCAGGTTGACAGGAAGTGACGAGCAGGGAGAAAGGAAGCAGATTTGATTGGGAGAGCAGGGTTAGTTCACGGTCTGCTTGTAGGTGATGATGAAGATGGGTAAAAAGAAGAAAATGGAATGAAAAACAAAATTGCGGTTGCCAGAGAGACAGACTTTTATTTCTCTGGCAACTCGCAATTTTAAACCTGTAAAGAACCATTTTAGAAAAGAAATTTCAAATAGTTGTAAAATATCAWTGACTTTTATTTTGCCAGATGCAAGATACAAGAAATCATTGAAACTTTTTGTTGAAATTTCTTTTCATAATATTGAACTATTTTCACTTTTTAAAGCTCACAAGCCAAGACTCAAAAGAGGGTGAAGTATGCTCTTATTCTAAGTGCATCTATTCATCCCATAAGATAGAAATATTATAGTTTGATGGTTTGGGGTGTCCATCACCCAAAGGCAACACTAATCAACAGCCTCACAGAATATGAATCAATTCATTCAATGCATTGTTTTAGAAGAATCAACTTTTCTTCCTTAACAAAGGTTATGAAACCAGGCCATAATCTGTGAAGCTGTTTTCTTCATGTTCGACAAAGATTTGACAAAACACAAGAACATAGACGTTAGAAAGTAAAGAAAGATACTTAAACAATGTCAAACCGTGACCAGAGACAGGCAAGTTTTGTTTTGCTGCACGTGTAAAGTGTCATWTATGTAGTTTGTTGGTTAAGCTTCTGAATCATAGCAATCCATGCTCATTTAGTCGACTCATACAATAACCACTTCCATAATAACAAAGAAACTGAGCTCAAGCTCTAACATCCAGTTTCAGTATAAAGTTCAGTGAATATTAGCAGAACTGTTTATTTAGCCATGCTTGATGCACAGACTGAACATATCATATGAAGAGGGTTGGAAACTCTTCAGAATATGATATGTAAGAAAAGMTGAGATGGCAGTCTGTTGATATGAATCAACTTCCATTCTGATGACCAGCTTGACCATCATTGAGGATTTGCATCAAAATGTGCAACACCAGCTGCTTAAAATAAGATTAAACTATTAATAAAAAGACAGATTCAAGTTTCACAAAGGTTTTGTTGCAGATCTGGATGATGGACAACGCTGGTAAAGAGATTGGAATGGTGGKCCATACATCTCTGGACATTTTGACCCAAACATGAACCCTCATGTTGTACCTGTTGAAAACCGTTGGTCCTCTTAGCTGGGACTGCAGTTCCACTGAGTTGAGTCTTGCCAAATGGTGGGAAAGGTTTGTGTTTGGATTTAACATTTGTGTCTGGTACTTTGGGTTTTGTGGACCTGGGCGGAGTGGGCTGGACGGGGACATGTGTCGGAGCTACTTTTGTTGGAGGGGGAACCTTTTTGGTTGTTGGTTTGGCCAGAGGAATTTTCTTGACCACAGTTTTAGTTGTAGTCATCTCTTTGAACTCGGCTTTCCCATGGGCTTTTGCTACCGGAGCTTTGGTGGCAGCAGCTTTTGTAATTTTTGTAGGTTCTGGTTTTGATGACTTGGTGGATTTAGGTGCTTTATTAACTCCTACAGGAGACTTAGTCGCACTATCCGCATTCTTTGTAGTGGTTTTAGTTTTKACTTTATTTCCAGCCTCTTTATTGCCATTTGCTTTAGCTGCACCATTGACTTTATTCTCAGTTTTGATATTAACTTCAGTGGTAGTTTTGCCATTTCCATTGGCTTTTTTCTCTGTTGTAGTTTTACCACTGCCATTTCCATTCACCTTGGACTCAACAGTGGCTTTGCCATTTCCATTGGCTTTCTTCTCTGCTGAGGATTTTCCATTTCCATTAACTTTCTTTTCAGGTACAGTCTTGCCATTGTTGTTAGCTGCACCATTCGGTTTCTTGCCATTCTTAGCTGGAGCAGTTGTGGGTTTGGATTTTGCCGCTGCTGTTGGTTTGATCTTAGACAAAAGGATTTCTGCTGCAGTGGGTTTTGCTTTGGATGGCTTGGCTGCAGACTTGAGAGYCTTGGTGGGCATGGGTGGCTTGACAACCAGTTTGTATGGTCCAGTCTTGGCTGATTTAGCAGGAGTGGGTTTAGCTTTGATAAGAGTGGATTTAGTAGGAGCTGCTTTTCCATTAAGTACCTTCTTCTAATGTCCGCAAATGTTATGTGGTTGAGTTGTTTAGCGTGTAGAAGTGCATGTTGGCAAAGACACACGGAGAGGGTGGAAGACRACAAAGATACACAGAGGGGTTGGGAAGGAGATAAAAAGCACAAACAAGGGATTGACAGAAAGAGAAAAAGACAAGAGTGGATGTTTTGAGACATAGTGACATAAAGATGGCTAAGGCTTGGACGATTTACTGAGACTGTGCAGGCATTACTGGATACAGCAGAGGATTACATGGAAAAAATAAATACTAATAAACAACATTAAATTCATAAAAGACATTTTACATTTGATATTTGTAGGGATTGTGCTGTTTTCTCCAGTAATGCCATTCCCAATATTACATGACAAAGCAGCATCTTTGCTCTAACAGGAACTGGAGGCCATGGTTTAGTAGAGGCACTGAGGGGTCGAGCACAGCTGGCTGTTTAATACACAGACTGCAAACACAATCACACAAACAACACACACATCACTACGCACTGACCTGTGTTATAATGCACTAAACAKTCCAACTGTAAAACAGAGAAAGTTTTTGCAGTTAAGCCATGCAAAGGAAGGAACTTAGATGTTAGGCTGGTGTTCATAACTGTGTTAGTCATACAACAATCACTAAATGTGAAAAAAAYCATACTTTGCTAAGTCTTAGAAATCATGCCTCTGCAATTAAAATACATGCAAAGAAAAACAGTTAAAAATTTAAAGTATGAAATGTGAAACAAAGCTGGACAATGGATCTTATTGAAACAAACTGTAGCATATATGTATGCCACACAAACCTCTATAGAACCATGCATTGAAACTTTATGTTGAAACTGTACATTGACATGTCATTTATTTTAAGTAGATGATGCAAAAGATCAGTAAGTTCATGCAATGACCCTTAAACAATTTGCTGATCATGCAAATAATAATAAAATAAAATGCTAAAACACTGTTGCAAATCTCACAAATAATTTTGTTAAAAACTGAGAACCCAATCAGGTGGGGTTTACCATCAAAGAACGTGCAAGTGAGGTCAGTAAATTCAAGAAAACACCAAAAAGACAAAAAAGAATTAAATATTAAACCATTTTCTCTTGTGATTATAAACTGAATGCCCGGTGTGTCACAAAGCTCCTCTATAATATTGTTAGGATATTAAAAGAAGATTACTCTGGCATTTTCTTATGTTTCCTAAGCTTCCTTTTATACTAATGCCAACMGATCCAGAAACAACACTGACTAATTCAAATAGCAAATCTGAAACAATTTCAGTCTTTTTATGTAAAGACTTTTTATTTAGACGTAAAGTTGAAGTGAACAAGACAAACATTAAAACATATTGTGTTAATTTAAATAACATTAATTTTTGTTTTGTGTGCACTATATATATTTTGTAAAGTAACTAGTGTGCGAACCTCTGTATGGAAGCTGCTGTGACAGTTGAATTTCCCCTCTGTGGGACAATAAAGGCTATTCTATTCTATTCTATTCTATTCTATTCTATTCTATTCTATTCTATTCTATATCAAAGGGAAACTTGGAAAAAAGGGAAATAAATGTAAAACAACAAAGCTGGACCCACACTTCCCTCAGTGCCCCCACTCGGCCACGTGTGAATTTACATAATTATATGACAACATGTAAAAAATAAAGACAAAACAATCACAAGGAGAAAAGGTGATCCTGTGTGATACAGATGAGATTGATTGATAAGACTGATAAATTTAAAAAAATGGAGGTATAGAGGGATGAGAGGAATTTGGGTTGAAAAAAGATTTTAGTTTTCATTTGAATTTTTTTTAGAAATATTTAATTTTGGATTCTTTTCAAATAAAATATCATAGATTGTATTAATGTAAACATTTTAACACACCTCTCTTTCCCTCATTCCCCTTTCCATCCACAAAACCAACTCTTCCCTCTCTCTCGCTCCCTGAAAACCTGCTGGTTGTGTTCTYCAGCTTGGGGAGAAGGGGATGCAGAGGAGGGAAGGCCTGTTGTTTCCTCATAATAATAGAGATATTCATGGTCATCCTGCTCCTCATCAAAGTACCAAAAGAAAAGAATRTGGAGGAATTGTTTGGTTGGAAGGAACAAGATGGGTTGAAATGGGGCAGCAGGATACATGAAAGCAAGAAAAAGAAGAATAAAAGAGGGGTTGCAGAGGCCAAAGAGGAACAAAAAAGGTAAAATAAAAGGACAAAATATGTTGGAAGACTGCAGTAGACAGCAATAAGAGATAATGACTTAATGTAAAGCTTTTATTTCTCAACTCAGCAGGTTTGTTGATAAAAACTCAAATACCATGATGAATGAGAAAATTATTCAAAATAAAAGCATCTGAGAAATCTAATGAATATAACCAGACTGATTTATATTCATTCATAAAGCAGTCATCTCAACAGTATCAACATGGAGCTCCAGAGTGACCAGCAGGTTTTATCGATTCAAATCAAACATGCCAGCTTATAAAAGCTTTAGAACTTGTAAATTAAATGTATGTGTTTATAATTTTGAGATAAAGCCGCTCCYAAAACAGTTTGCTAAATCTTTCATATTGTGCACAACCAGTCTCAGTAAGCAGAAAGGTTCACCAACCTTAAGCCAAGATCTTATGTCATGATTTAACAGAAAATCAATTATAATTTAATTACCATGTTTTATGTGCTCAACAGGATCTCTTACTTTAAATCCGTTGAAACAAAACAGAAAAGATGTTCATGTTTTATTGTATCATCCTTTCCCTCTACCTTTCTGTGTTCCAGAGCAGAAAACAACTAACCCACAGCTGAAAGTGTTTATTATAACAAAACATGTCCATTTACAGGAGCAGTTCTGGGAGGAATAAGACAATTACTCTGTCTTTCTAAAGACCACAAGGAGACACAGACTGTGAAGGTGAGGGAGAAAATGGATGGATACAATYTGTTGCTGATGACAAAGACGTGAGAAAGACAGAAAGGGAGAGCAGGACTTTGATGACGTTAGTTAGCTGGCACAATCTGAACCCGAGGACTTTTAAAGGAATGATGCATTTGACTCAATTGTTTTATAAAACTACTATTTCCATTGGTGGATTTAATAGATATATAAAATAAAAAAACAGTGAAAAGAAAACAGGTAGGTTAAAAGGAAAGTAAGTGATCAGTGTTCAAGATAAAACTTTTTAATATAAACATCTACAGYGACAACAGTTGGGTGTACCCTCTGATATTTTTTTATATTTTAATACACAGTAAATATCTTGCTCTTTGACTTGCCTTCATGACACAATATTTGTCTTTTGATTTTAAAAAAGCACATTCAAATACCTGATCTAATATTTTATTTTTCTCCAAGTATTTTTTTATGAGAGAAATGTGAGAAAATTAAATAAAACTAATAAATAAAGTCCACAGATTCTGATTGGGCCAGCTTTATTGGAGCTACAGATGAACCTAAATGACTTAATTTCAAGTGTAAATCAAAGGTTTTTCACTCTGTAGGACATACAGAAATATCTGCTCATGTGGTTTTGTGCTGTTTTTTTGTATTAAATTAGACAGGAAGTGAAATGAGGTGTAAATAATAAATGATAGTTATTGCATCCTGTAATAACTTGTAAGAAACCTGGTGTGTGGAGTTACTCACGTATGTGTTGGGGTCCTGAGCCTGGGTCTTGGGCAGAGGGGAGTCACAGTCAGGGCTGTAATGTTCACAGAAGTCGTAGGCAGCCTGAGGGTTGGAGGCAATTAACAGCTGCTGGATGTCTCCCTGTGGATTAAAAGATACAAGTAGAACTTTAATGAAACCTCACACACTGGTAGTCCAGAGCTTTTCTGGTTTGCAACAAGTGAAAATACCATCAGATTACAGTTCTGACCTGGAAAACCTCCTCATCAAGCAGACGAGCTCCAAACACTGTAATGCCGTTGGTGTCAACCACAGCGTTATTGCCTCGGGGCAGAGGACGGGTCATCTTCTTCTTGCAGTCCAGCAGCAGGGTCACATTTTTCTTGGAAACGGAGAAAGCGATGCGATGCCACCTAGAGACGAGTAGAAGGAACCGCAGGCAAACATATATGTAACATGACTACTTACTTAAAAAACAATTTRTCACCCAAATCATGAATATTTTTCAACAAACAACCACACAGATGACTAAAACCATCATCTCAACCAGTCATAAACTGACTCTTCTTGGTTACTGACTTGCCATCAGCCAGGTTGATGCCTTTGAAWAGTGGGTAGTCCTCAGGAGCTGGCTTGCCGTTCTGGTCCTCGTACAGAAAAACAGGCGAGCGACCCAGTTCAAGGCCCAGTTGCTGGATGCCCTGCTCGCTGTAGATGGAGAGGAGGAAGGCTTGGAGACCAGCCTGGGGCTTGATCAGGGTCATGATGGAGAAGTTCTCTGGGAAACGACCTACAGGAGGAGGGAAAGACAAAAAACAGGACTTTAATCTAATAAATATGTTCCACTGATAAAATGATTYGTAGCTGTTCAAACATTTATATATTTTTTGTAATTCAGCCTTTTCTTGTCCACAGCTAGCCTGATAAAAACCAGACCCTTGTCCTTCAGTGAAGGGAAACTAGACTTTAACGGAACTGCATAGGAAGGCAAGGGCCAGGCTATTCCACAGCTAAAAAAAGCAACTAAACTTATTTTTCTGCACTTTTTCTGCATTTGTTGAAACTAACAACCCTATACAGACAGTACACCAACCTGAGACTTACCTGAGAAGAGCTGCTTGGTGGGGGCAGAGATCTGGGCCTTCTTGGTGATACGGTAAGCATGATCAGGGCTGCCGGAACGACGGGACGTGCAAAAGCCTGGGACTTTCTTCACACCTTCAGGGAGAGAGGGAACTTGCAGAGCTCGCAGCACATCCACTGGATCTGACGAGGAAGACAAACAAGGAAAAAAATATTTATACTGCTTAACAAACAAGTCTTTTAAGTCAGCTGAAACACAGTTTTCTTATATAAAAAGTGCGTTTTTGCATTTTGAACAGATTATAAATTAATTATTTAGGAAAAAATGCAGCAATTGTCCCCAACAAATCGTTGCTTGCTGTTTGACTGATTTGCATTCAATACATTTGATCTTAAACAYGATCTTAAATGTGCTAATGTAACATAGGATGGTAGAGAAAGTGCTCAGTGTACATTTAGGTTTACTGTAAGAAAGAAAGCACTGTGTCGGAGCAGATGGGCAACAGTCCAAGCAACATACAGCAGATGAAGGGTGGGTACAGCGAAGCTCGGTTTACATCAGAACGGAGACTGTGTTCTCTGTTCTCCTCACATTTTTTAAGCATCTGGAACAAGTGGGAGTTGATGAGAAACTGCYGAGTCAAGTGAATATTTCTTTGACATCACATAATCATTTCACAGCCTAATTGCAGCATGCAGCTAAACATAATGCAGATACAGAGAGAAAGCAGTGAAGAGCCAGACTAACGTCCTGTCGTCACTTTCACACACTGAGGTCAACCAGTCTGTTTCTCTGCCTTCAGTCTGAACTGTGGTTTGACCTTGTTGGCTTTCTCAGGTTGCTACAAGTGTTCTGTGGCTGACTGTCACACTTCAGGTAAAAAAGAAAAAACACCTCTAAAACTCTGGAAAGAAGAATTCAACTGAATGCAACCTCTTAAATTAAAATTCATGTGTTTCCAAGAACAGAAGAGGGAAATTAAACTATTGCTTCAAGAAAATTGTAAATATTTTTGTCCTTTTTACTCTGAACTGTTTTTCAACATACTTTGGTCAGTTTTTTAATGTAAGAGCTAAAGCATTTCAATGTTGATGACATTACATCTTAAAAATGACAAATTTATTTTTACTCCCTTTAGTTAGCACCATTCAAACTATTTCTTAATATTAACAACACTTAGCAATTCAAGTATTTTGCTTCAAATGTGTCAGGTTTTAAAATGATTCAGCTCCAAAACCAAAACAAGAACACATGTTCACATTTTCCTGAACTTATTCTCTCCCAGTCTGTGTTTGAGCTGCAGCTGAGAGCTAATTTTRTTGTTAACAGCCAATTAAATTCATTTACAGCCAGCCCTGCTGTGGTTCTTCCCATAATAAACTTGCAGGGTCAGCGATGCATCCATCTGGTAAAATCCACATCATGTGATGCAAAGATCAAACCCAAGTTATTTTCATTCTGAAGCTACAATAATAAACATGTTCAGGTGCTAAAAAAGCAAAAATACTTAAGAAATCATGTAATTATGCCTCTCTCTGGATGTTTGACCCAAGCAGCTCCTGACCAGAAGCACARATGTTTATCAGACATTATCTCAAATCAGCACCTGTCACTTCACATACAAAAGAAAATCTTTATCTTATAAGTGATAATGCTTTTTCACTGAATTTCAAAACATTTTTATAGGATTACATTTGCATCTAATGTGAAACTTCCTTGTTTTYGTTCTCAAATCTCCCTGCTCCCATCAGAGGTGCTTATGTTTAGGTGACACCCTGTGTTTCAGAGGTAACAGTTACTCAAACAGGCCCACAAATGGTAATATTTRTTCTGAGAGGCTAAATGCTGCAATAACATTGTTTCTGGGCATCCAGACCGCAGCCTATTAATGTCATCCTACACCAGAGAGAAAAAGGAAAAGGAGGACAGTAATGGGAAGAAAAATATAGATGAGAAACAGGTTGAATGAAAGGAGGGAAAAAGGAAATGGTGTGTAAATGTAGGAGAAAAGGGATAGTGGGAATAAAGGTTATACAAGCWTGTTGGTGGGAATTTAAATGAACCACATGAATGTAAAACTCATGATCAGAAATTAAAGTTTGATGTCTGATTTCTTGCAGATTTGCATGTGAAGGATGTGTCTGAAATGTAGCAGGAAGTGGAGCAATGTGACGAAGATGATGAGAGAAAAAGGTTCATGCAAAGTTGGACAGTGTGTGTGTTTTAGTGGGGGTATAGTGACAGTAGACAGCATGGTTCTGTGATGGCAGGATACTGGATCAGATTGCAGCCTGAGCTCCCCCAGTATGTCCAGTACAATGTGCTGCTCTGTTCCCTGTTCTCTGCACAGCTCACATCTGCAGACGAGGCCCTTCCTGCCTGGAGGACCACAATCACGACAAAAACACACCCTTAAAAAAATAACGCAAGGACGCAGACAGCACAGGCAGGGAAACGTGCACCTAAACACCTCTCAGGATGAGGAGTGACACGAATTAAAGTAGACGAGGTAGAAAAACAGACAGCAGAGAGGAACAAACTTACTTTTTTATTTGTATTTTTTTTTTAGCTTTTTTCTTTTCTTCATGCTCCCTAAACACTCACAGATGGCTTCAACTTTTTGATGCAAGTGTKGACTAATTACACTGCTGTTATTGCGACAGGAAACAGACTTTCAGGCATGTGAGAGCACAACCAGGACTGAATGTAAAACTCTGTACAGTTAAACTAAATGACATTTGGATCAGCAGAAGTCCAGTACAAATCAACCTTTTTAYCAGAAGTCTGTTGTCTTTCTTCCAAAACAAAGTAAATCCAAATTTAACTTAAAACGATAATGCTACTTCCTATTATTTTTCCTCTTCACAGGTTTTACTTTGTAGTCAGAACTCTTTAACATATTTACAAGCCAAATATTGTCCCAATATACAGCATAAAAATCAAGTAAATTAACATTAAATGTTAATACATTCCAAACAGTTTATTACATACATGTATATTCCAGAAATCAAGCTATGAATAAGCCATTAAAACAGTTTTAACAAGCTAATATAACTTAATTGTACTACAGTGTGGATGAGACTTTAAGCAGGCAGCCTGGACTGAAACAATCCTGTCACTGTTAAACTATAACCCTTTCATTCACAGAAACACAACTGACCAAACATGCATACCACAARTTAATTACAGCCTTACAGAAAAATATACACTCTTGTTACACTGTAAAATGAGGGATAAAACTGCAGTACATTATGCTCATGTGAGGCTTTAAATCAGCAGTTCCACAAAGCTGCCACCAGATGGCGATAAAACCAATTAAATTATCTTTGCTTCAAATTGCAGAGCGAAAAGAGATTGGGCATACACTCATACACTCATACATACACATAATTAGATGCTCTTACAAGAATACGAAATGACAAGTGTTGTGAAAAGAACGTTTGCATGCTTTCTCAGTGCACACATGGGTTTTATCCAGGTGCTTTGGTTTTCTCYYACTGACCAAAGCTAATTGRTAACTCTAAAATGTCATTAGTTGTGAGTGTGAGTGGTTTGTCTCGTCTGTCTTTATGTAGCACTGTGATAAACTTGTGACCTGTCCAGGGTGTAACCCGCCTTTAACAGTTATACTGCAGAAAGTCTCCAGCTCCTCGCAACTCGTAAAGATGTAAACAGGTTTAAAAAAATGAATGAATAGACAGATGTTCATTTTGTTAAAGCAATTGGATGCACAGATTTGAGCCTGTGAGTAAATAATTTAGGGAGCATCACTTAGCACAGCAAAGACGTAGTTAGCTAGCCCTCATAAAGTCAACATGAGACCCTAAACACCCACAAAATAATGATATAATGGGAAGAATGTGACGTATGAGAGGAAGTTTGTCTGTATTGTAGACATTGTATGACAYTCATCAGTGGTGCAACTTGTAAGTTTACAACGAAAATACTCCATATCCTCTAATGCATCTGAGATGCTAACTTTTTGTGTGATCTATAAGTGTTTGTGCATGCTTTGTGTGCACATTTAGTCTTTTCTTTCCTGGCACAACTTTGCCAAATACCAGGCACACACTCCAGCTGACATGCTGACCCATCACCTCTCACCTTTACACAACAACCACATTGTTAGACACACAGAGCAAGAGGAACGTGTTATATTGACTACAGGTCAACACACGCATGCAAACAGTGGCACAAATTCATTTTGACACTTCGTCCCGACACATTTCCTCCTACAATCATTTTCAAAACTAAACTGTTTAAAGAGACAAGAAAGGGAAATGATGCCAGATGTCCAAAAAGCAAAAACAGTTCATAATAAACATTTTTTATGGACAACTTTAAACTAAATTCCAGTTGTTCCTCGATCACCAGCTGGTCCTTCATCCACCCAGCCAACCACACTGTAGGAAGAAGGAGMAGAAATCAAGCTGCAGGTTGTAATTTTCAACATGGACCTCTGTAGTTATGATTTATTTTTAATGTCTTGTGTACACAGACAGAGAACCTATTCTGAGTCTGTGCTTTACAAAGGGAGGTATTAAAATTTACATAACTTTAATGTGCCAAGTTAAAGGGTTTAGTTTGTCAGTGTGGCTTTAATGTTTTATTCAGATGTTCCCTCRTGTGACAATGACTGAGAAGCTACAGAAATAGAAAAACATCAGGAAATATAWATGGTTTGTTGTTGTTTTATGAATGTAACTCTAAACTGGATGTATCCTGAAAATTTAGTCACAAAAAAGGAAGGAAAAGGAAGATTTTATACTTTGAATATTAAAAAACAAAGTAACAACCAAATTATGCTGCAAAATAATTGTGTAAAAATAACTTAAATAATACCTAAAGATGGCTAAAGTGTATTTTTTACATGTTTGTTAGTTATTAAAACTAAAAGTGTCTCACTGCAGTGAGAATATTTCTTCTTGTACTCATTAAGCTGTGATTTATTCTTATTTTTGGTTTTTATTTTTTYAACAAACCAGTATCTCCTCATTTAAAGTCAGTTATTCAAACAGCTACAAGAAAAAGCATAATTTTTCTACAAACCACTTTACCCAGGTGCTTAACAGCTTTAACTACCTGCCTCTGCACTCCCACTCAAATACTATTACTGGGGGTTTTACTGATGGTTGTTCATGGCTACAGCTTCCTGTACCATTATGTGGTCTGTGCCAGTCTA